GGGGGCCGAGCGCGTCCCTGGGCGCAGCTGGCGCCGTGCCCGCCGTCCTTCGCGGGGTTTCGGAGTGTGGAGTCAGCGCCTCCCGAGGCACTTCCTCGCCCCGCGTGGGTGAGGGGGTCTGTGGTGGGTGAGACCTGATGTTGTACGCTCGGACAGCGAGCTTGCCTCCCTCGCAAGCCTGCTTTGGGATGCCCTTGATTTTATGGTAAAAGGGGGTGACTGAGCCGGGAGAAGACAGCGATGAAATGCAGTCAGTAACTGCCTGGTGGTTGGGGTTTTTTTACTGTTCACATTCCAATGTGATAGCTCAGGAGGTTTTTTTTTTTTTTTTTCAAACACCCTGTAGTCTGAGTCATGTTAGCAAAGCCAAGACACCAGGACTGCATTTTGTCACCTACTGGAGCGCCGCCTTTAGTATTAAAGTCTACAATGTAGACTCAGCCTAGAGCTCAGCTATTGGCCTCGGTCTACTTTTGTGAATGTTTACCAAGAGCTGCTCTGCGAGGTGCTGTGTTTACATCAGTTCAGAAATGCAGTTTGACTGCAAAGCGAAAGACGTCCCTGCTTATCAGCTTCTCTGTACTTGAACTTGCCCAGCCAGAGGGACCTTTCAAAGCTTAGATATCAAATCATGGAATAATGCTTCTCCCATCTGCATAGGTTCCACCTCTAACGTACAGACAGGTGGCCAGCAGGACTTTTAATCTGAGCGCAGGCAATTCTCGTGCTCATCTTGTTCATTCACCCAAAAATACCCTCATTTTAAGTATAGCTCAAGGTCCCCCAATCAATCAGGTGTGCCACACTGGTAATAGTCAGCGGCTATGTGGCTCAGTAGTGTGACAGTGGGAGAGTAGCACCAGTGCTAGAAACCTCATTCTGGTTACGCTTCCTTGGAGAGGGAGGGAATGTCTTACTCTCACGCAAGCAGCGTTGAGATAACAAGCTGTATCTCTCCAGGATGCGTGTGCTTTTTGCCTCTCGGAGGAGGGCTTTGCCAAATCCCAGCCAAAAACCACTCCAATACTGCTGGGTCATACTGGTGCTTGCAGCAGGCTGGTGTTAGAAAAACACAGTCTGTCCTCTTTGCACAGAGAAACTCTGTCTTCGCCATACTCGTGGCTGAGAGCTGGAGGGTTGCTGATGATTGTTGCTGCTCAGTCAATGAAAAAAAAAGGTTGATTTTTATGTTGTTTTTTTTTTCAGATCTTGTTTTGGCTGTCAAAATGGAGCTTGACATCCAGTGTGAGGAGATGAGTCCATCTAGATGGGCTGAACTTCTGTCCACAATGAAATCCTGCAAAACCATCAGGTAGTAACTAGTTGCGTATCATCTCTTCTAAGTAAGAACTGTTGCGTTTCTCATGTGTTTTTCAGCTGCAGAACTGTTGACCTATGACAGAAATTGTACAGTAACAGGAATGATTCTGCCTACTTTTAGCTAGAAATTTAATTTAAAAGGGAAAAAGAACACCCTCTTGCAAAGTGTTTTCAACTACAGATAAGCATCCTTTGGTATGAAGGAATGCTGCCCTTGTTCTATGGTGTGCTCATTAGGTTGCACGCTCTCTGGGCTGCAGGTCAGATGCTGTCAAATAACTGTTACTTAATAGTCACGCACAAGCCACATGCTGTCAGCTTTTAATTCTTCAGTTGGCCTTCCAAAGTGTTGAGCAAACCAGTGTGAGGGAACCAACTCCTGGTGTGTAAGCTCCAGCACTCTTCCCCTCTGCTGGCTGGGAATTCACACCCCACGGGCTGGCATCATCTTGCTTGGGCTGGAGAGGATGGGCCACATCAAGACAGCAATGGCTTGGAGGACGTCAAGCAGGCTGAACGTGCCTTGCTTTTGTTTTGCAAAGGAGCTTTTTGCAGGCAAGCTTCACGGGCCTGACCATGACTTCCCAAGGTCTGCTTTGGATGGCAGAAGGCAGTGGAATGGTTGCCTCTTGGGCTGGGCTGCTCAGGACATAGTGGATGAGAGTGGCTGTGGCACGGATTGTTAGTTGGTGTTGAACATGATCCCATTGGGAGCCAAGTCTTCTTGCGAGAGGGAGGGAAGGAGAAGCCTACTAGAGCCTCAGTTTTCATAGTGTTATCTAAGGAGAAATGACCAGACAACTTTTGGCAGTCCTGGCTGTGGCTGTGCCTGGGGCTGGAGGGTTCTTCATGCCACCTTCCTTTTCCCCAGTGTCTTTTCTGTCTCCCTGTACACCTCTCTGCCTCTCCTGGGCTCCTGATCCTTTTCTTGGTTCTCCTTCCAATTCAACTTCCTCCCATCAATTTAGCAACAACTAGAAAAATGTAGATGTCCAGTGAGAGAAGCCACTGCCACACCACAAACTTGCAGTTCGTGTACAGAGAGTCACGCCAGAGAGAGATGGTGCAGACTGTCGTGACTCACCTACACGAGACCAAACTGCCGATGGGTGTCTCTGGGGCTGGCTGAAGACCCAGCTTGGCTGGTGTCTGTGCAGAACCAGTCTGACAGCCTATAAGCTGGCCTCTGGTTAGACGTGGCTTCAGAAACCGGGTGGTTTGTCACTGTCAATTTTTAAATGAAAGTGCATCCTTCAGCTTAAGCCCTGCCAAGGGGGAATGGCTTGAGTCATGTACCTCATTCTGTGTAGCATGGAGGTCTGTGGCTTGGGGAACTGCTGTCCAGCCCCTCCGGCACTGCAGCCCTGCAGAGAGAGCATGTCTTGATTTGGGCCATGCTTTGCCCGACAGGCCACACACATACTTATGGAGGCATCCCAGGGACTGCAGAGAAGTAAATTACCCACTTTGCTTTCACAGAGAATGCTCTCCATCCAGGGAGAACAGAGCAACCCCAAGGACTAAAGTGCTCCTTCTCTCCTCCTCTTTCAGGCTGGATGACTGCAATCTCTCCACCAGTAACTGTAAGGATCTCTCCTCCATCATCAATACGAATCCATTCCTTACAGAGCTGAAGCTGAACAACAACGAACTGGGAGATGAAGGCATTGAATACCTGTGTAAAGGGTTGCTGATGCCAAGCTGTAGCCTACAGAAGTTATGGTAAAGCCCCCTTGATTGTCTTGCTATAACATGCTTGCGGTCTACTGCAAGTGAATTCATGAGGCAAACTAGTATGTGATGGTAGTAAGAGCCATGCCAGTGTTTCTCAGCAATTACCTAGGTCAGATGGCTGGAAAATCTCAGAAGTTTTTATCTAAGTGGTATATTTATTGGAAAACTCCAGATCATCAGTCTGTCTTCCTTTGTCTTCCAGCACTGAGGGAAAGCAGGTAGGGTTTTCCCAGCCAAGCGAAGGCTTTCTGGAGACTTTCTTCAGAAAAGGTAGCAGATCTTCGCCCGGCCCACGCAGCTGCATTGTCTGTGTAGGCTGGTTTAAACAAAAGGACAGCCACAGAGGGCCCCGCTCTGCTGTTAGCACATATGTGATGTTTTCACAAATGCATTTTTCAGAGGGCTCTTCCGCCAGTTGTAAGCACAACTTTTAGTGTCTGGTCCAGTTTGTTCGCTCCTTTCTCTAGGAGCCAAGCAAAACAGTATTCTCCTGAGCCTTGGCATTTCAAGAGCTGTCAGTCTTTCTGCACTTCACCAGACTGGCTCTGCCTCAAGCCTTGTCTTAGCTGGGCAGGGCCAGCTTGGTTCAAGACAGCCTGTTTTGCAGGGGCACCTGCACCACATTATGGCATTAGTGGGCTTCCTTCAGCAACCATGGTGCAGGAGCTTTAGTCAAAGGCAGTGGCTGCTGCCCCTGCTCCTCAGTGACCCTCAAAGAGATGCTACCTTCTCTGTCCAGTATCTCTTCTGTGGGGTATTGGAGTCCTTCAGCTCCTAAGATGGGTCTAGGATCTTCGTGACCCTACCTTGTGAAAATAATTTCCCTTTTAGATCAGATAGGCCTGCTTCAAAGTCCCTGTGCCCCCTGGAATGAGGAGTCACTGACAAATAAATGGAAAGTTGACTGTGAAGCAAATCAAGCTGCAGCTCTCTGATGGGCCTTCAAGAAATAAGTATGATACTCTGTGCTGGAAAACTAACACAAGTGATTTTTCATAGAGTTTGTCCTAAGCTTTGAACTTCTCCAGATGCTCAAGTAACAGCCTGGATTAGGCTGTTTTAGTTCTGTAGAAGCATAATCGTCCATTTTTGGGGTTCTGGTAAGGTGCCTTAGAGAATAAAAGAGGAACCAAACCCAAGGCAAACTTAGTACCATCATGGACAACACCTCTCCATTGCTAGAAATTCTTGCCCGATAATACTGAACACACCAGCACAATTCCTACACTACTGCTCCCAGCCTGAGTACTGAAGGATCAGTTTCATAGATCCTTCTTGTAGTATACCATTAAGCTTCTAAATTATATCCAGAGATTTAAGCCAAGTTGGACGAGATTTTTACTTTTAGCTGCTCTGGATCACGTTTCCAGAGGGGGGCAAGAAATTGTAAGATGCCATTGCTTTATCTCTGGGATAAGCCTCGCGATGATTAAAACACTTCTATAAACCGATTGCCGTGCTGTTTAATGTGGGATGGATCCTTCTTCTGCTAGAGGTGCTATATGAGTGATTACGCTGAAGGAAACATGGGAGCTGTTGGTCATGCTACAAGTATAATACTAGCTGATAAAATAGTATGGCACACCTGTAAAATAGCAGTACCTACCTGGACATAACACTTTCTAGAGGGTTACACACTGTCAGTGCCATGGTGTCCTTTCCAAGCTCAAACCTCAGCAGATGCACCTCTCTGAGAAGAGTCTGTGTAATTCTGGGGGTCCATTACCCTCAGCCCAGTTACCTCTCTCCTTCAGGCTGCAAAACTGCAATCTGACGAGTGCCAGCTGTGAGACTCTCCGCTCCGTCCTCAGCGCACAGCCGTCCCTGACAGAGCTGCACGTAGGTGATAACAAACTGGGAACTGCTGGAGTGAAGGTGCTGTGTCAAGGGATGATGAACCCCAACTGTAAGCTGCAGAAGCTACAGTAAGTAGTCACAGGGCTTTTTTTGATCATCGGACAGGTCATGCTGGTCTTTCCCTTGAGACAAGCAGGAGTTTTGTTGCCAAAAGTCTATTTTTTCCTGTTTTATCTGAAATTATGTCGTGCTTATTCATGCTGTTAGGTCTTGTGGGTTTGTAAGAGCTTGGTGTCTATTCCCATAGGCTTTGTTTAGCCCTCCCGGCAGTGGTGGCTGTTAATTCAGGACCTCTCAGATGCCCAGGGAAAGTCTGTTTCTGCTGAATTTGGTCATTGTTTTATGGCTATGGTTTATTCGCAGCCCCCAGCTCCTCCCAGGAAGGCTCAGTGGCGAGGCTGTGTGATGTGTTGTAACGCAAAGCTCGGTCCAATGCTGTGTTCCAAGGCAGCCTGTGCATTGGTTTAATGGAGGACTAGTGTAAAAACGGGGTGGCTAATTAGTCTTCCTAAGGTCCCCTGGGTTCTAGCTTAAGAATTAATGCTTCCAGAAATGAACAGGGAGGTGCTGTTAAAAACTCTTACAGTTACCTCTGTTTTCGTACGTTGCCTGGTCTCAACTCAATCTTGGCATGTTTTCTGCCTTGGCTAGTGCACACTTTGCCCAGCTGATATCTTGCTGGTAGCAGGAGGTGATGAAGATGGTTGTTTTTTCCCTGGACTTCTTTTCTTCTTGCAGGCTGGAGTACTGCGAACTCACCGCTGATATTGTGGAAGCTCTCAATGCTGCCCTGCAAAGCAAGCCCACCCTGAAGGAGCTCAGCCTGAGTAACAACACGCTGGGAGATACAGCTGTAAAGCAGCTGTGCTGGGGACTGGTGGAGGCAAGCTGCAACCTAGAGTTATTACAGTAAGGAAGAGCTGGTCATCTCTAACTGCAACTAGTCCTGCTGCTAGTCATACCATCCATAAGACAGGAAAAATTATTGTCAGGAATGCTTGAAATTTAGGCCAGTTTTTTTTCTGGGTCAGGTTTCTGTAACTGTAAACTGCAAGCAGATGTCTGGGGCTTTCAATTTTGGGATCTTTTGGCCTTTTTTTAGCATAGGATTCTGAGCTCACTCTTATATGGATGTTGGTACAGTGTGAACATGTATCCCAGGTTAAACCTGCAATTACAAAGGGTGACTGCTCCCCACTGTCTCAGAGCTCAGGAGCAGTCGCCCTCAGGGGCTCCAGTTCTTAACCTCGAATTACCAGCCAGCTGAGTATATTTATTCAAATCCCTTTTTTGCTTCAAAACAGAGAAGCTGGATTTGGGCTCATATCTGGGATAAAGCCCCTGAAGGGGTTTGGGGGAGACACACGATTCATTTTATCTTGCCCCTGTGCTTCAGCAGGGGTTGACTGCCAGGGACTCACTGTGTGATACAGCCAAAAGTTCCTCTTTAAAAGGACAGTTGATATAGAGGGGGAGTTTGGCAAAAATGTGAACGGGTGGGTCAGAGTAAAAGCATCTGCAGCCTCGGGGAGTGCAGGGGCAGTGTGTTGCCTCACCCAGAGCCTGTCTAGGACACCTGTATGATCTCTGAGCCCTGCAGGGTCCAGCAACGCCCAGCTGAGCTGCACTGGTTTGCAGCAGTGAACCAGCCAATAGCCCCTTCTCAGTCTGAACTGGGGGTGTGGGGCGGATTGAACACAGCAGAGCAGCAGCCCCAACTGTGCTTTTTTCTGCAGCCTGGAGAACTGTGGCATAACCAGCGATAGCTGCCGGGAGATTAGCGCTGTTCTCAGTAACAAGTCATCACTGACAGACCTCTCCGTGGGGGATAACAAGATTGGGGACTCCGGCCTGGCTTTGCTGTGCCAGGGACTGTTACATCCTAACTGCAAAATCCAGAAGCTATGGTAAGGGTAGGCAGAGATCATCTAAGTCCCTCTTGAAGCCTCTGAGCTCCTTCCGTTGTGCTGCTGGTTTGCTCCTGAGCTGCAAGTTTCTCAGTTACACCCCCTAGTGAAACAAGAATGTCTCTGCTGCAAATGAGTTACTTCTCCACACTGGGTGGAGGACACCATGAAAGAGCAGGACCGCACTGAAATTGTTTGGATCAAATTCTGAGGAGAGAGGAATGGAAGTTTGTGATGGCGTTGTCTTGGCTTCCTGTTGAGTTATCTGTCTACTAAAATTGCATTTTCCTATTTCTTTTTTGTGTTTTTGTGTTACAAACGGAGCTTTTGGTGCAACAGACGGAAAGTAAGGAGAAAGCTGTGTGGTATGATGTATGAATGGGTTTTGTAAAGGAGAGAAGAAAATTAAATGGCGTAACCAGAAATTCAGAATACTAAAATGGACTTCTAATCTAAGTCATTCTTGGCGGAAAATAATATTTTGTTCTTCCCTGCAGGTTATGGGACTGTGATCTCACAAGTGCTAGCTGTAGAGATCTCTCCAGACTCATCAGTACAAAAGAGACCCTCACAGAGATCAGTCTGATAGACAATAACCTGAGAGACTCAGGGATGGAAATGCTGTGTCAGGCGCTCAAGGATCCCAGATCTAAACTCCAGGAGCTATGGTGAGCTGCTGTCAAGTTTCACATACCCACTGCCTTCTTTGGAGACCTCACTGGAGAAAAATGTAGGTGAAGTTGTGCCCACCAGCTAGATCTTCAGTTGCAATGGTTTTAGGAACAACTTCTGACAGTTGTTGTTACCTAAAGGATTTAGACTTACAGAGCTAAAGATATTTGTATTTCTAAACTCGTAGACACTTTGAAGATGTGCCCCATAGTTATCCTGGTATAAGCAATAGGAGACCAAGCATCGCTTGCAGAGCTTCTGTCTAATTTACTTTATTGTGCAACAAATGGCAGCTAAGAGACTTTTGAAGTTTGAAAGGCCTTGTGTAATAGCAAAATGAGTGCTGTGATCAGATATCTCCAAGCTCTAATGACATAAACCGTTCTCAGCATCCTCTCTGCTGACAGTGTTACCTTTAGGCTGGCTGGTCAGGTGTCATGTGGCTGCAAGAGGAGAATTGTTCTTTTACACAGAACTTGAACAAGCAGCACTTGGAGCTTTCCTGCATTGCAAGTTCAGCTCCTGCCCACAGGAGTGCACAGAGAGGAGCTGAGATTGACTGAGAGCAGCACGCTTTGCTCTGAAATTCCTCTGCTTTATGGGCAGGTGCTTTTCCTAGGTGCGTGCTCCGAGGCAGGCGTCCCAAATATAAAGAGTAGGAGAGGTACTGCTTAGAAAGGATCAAGCAGATGAGGGGTTGAGGCTGTGGGAAGGCTTTGGTTCTTGTTGCCACTGTCTGGGCTCCTGTGAAGCAAATGTGAAGAAGTGAACAGTGCCTGATACTATCTAGATCTCCCCTCTAGATCTCATGTTGCTCTTACCTTGCAGGATTAGGGAGTGTGGGCTCACGACTGCTTGCTGCAAGGCTGTCAGCTCTGCTCTCAGCGTGAACAAGCACTTGAAAGTACTGCACATCGGCGAGAACAAGCTGGGAGATGCAGGTGTTGAAGTCATGTGTGAAGGGCTTCTGCACCCCAACTGCAACATCCAGTCCCTATGGTAAGGTGCACCCTCAGAAGTAGTCTTCTCTCGTGCTGTGTTACCCTTCGGAGAATGACGTGCAGAGAAAGGAAGATAGCACTAGACAGTAGCAGGGTGTTTTTTTGCTCACATGAAACAATTCATACTACAAACTGACGTTTAACTAGTCTACTAGCAAGTAAATGGAAGCCACAAGTGCTTCCATGTATCCTGTCACTCGTGGTCTCTTGCAAGTACAGTCACAGTGCAAAGCCTACCTGAACTCACCAGTTGCCTCCTGCTTCCCATAGTCTCTATGGGTGCCAGCGCAAGCGCTGGTCCAGCCTTACCAGCAGGAGCAGGAGGCCAGCTGCAGCATCACCTCTAACCCGGTGATGGGACTTACCTTCCCCATCTCCCTGTTCCCTTCCCAGGTGGGCACCGAGCTCTGGACTGGTGTGGTTGTGACCTGTGTGATGCTTGGGGCACTGTACTTGGCTCCTCCACGCCATTTGACAGAAGCCGGAGCTGTCCTCCAATGCCCGAGACTCACAGTGAATGAATTGAGCAGATGAGTCATTGCAGACATCAGTAAGACTTGAAGTCTCTGCCCAGAAAGATATGGTTGCTGAGCAGCTAAAGCTACTTGGTTCTCAGCTGAGGCCTTAGTTGCCCTTTTTTAGAGAGATGATTGCAAGTCTCATGTAATAAACTTCAGAGATGATTTATGGTTAATTTAAACCAAAGGGAAGGTTATGCATGATGTTGAAGTTGGGAATGTCTTCTTAGGGTTCCTTCTCCCCTTGTAGCCACACACTGTTAAACCCTAAACGACTTTTAGGTGTTCAGCAGTCATCACAAGGACAGCTGTCTCTGTGGAAAGACCATGGACCAGCCCCTGCTGAAGTCTTGGAGATGCCAGCCTAATGGGAATCTCTGGTCCGTGCTAGGGATGTCCACACCTGCTGCCCAAGCGTGGGCTGGTGGGCTGGCCTCTGGAGCCATCGCTCGCTGCACTGCCCCCTCATCCTCTCCCCACAGGCTGGGTAACTGCGATCTCACGGCAGCCTGCTGTGCAGCCCTCGCCACTGTCATGTCCACCAAGCAGTGCCTTACCGAGCTGGACCTGAGCTACAACTCTCTGGAAGATGAAGGCGTCAGGAAGATATGTGAAGCCTTGAGGAATCCCAGCTGCAATGTGCAGCAGTTAATGTGAGAGATGTTTGTGGTCCTGCTTGCTTTCCCCCTGGCAGGTAGTGAGCTCCAGCAAGCTGGGGGGCTGCAGGGAGGGGGCTGCAAGCACCAGCTCTTTGGGAATTGCACCCGGTGACCCAGGGCGGGTCAAATGCCATCTGCATGTTGCAAAACACTCCTTGTCCCTTCCAAGTGAAATGACCACAGTGCCTTGGTCTGCTTTGGTCCATAGGGCCCAGGAACAAGGAGAAGCTTGTGCTGGGGAGGAAGTAATAGGGTCATAGAATCATAGAATCGTCTGGTTGGAAGAGACCTTCAAGATCATGAAGTCCAACCATTCACCCTGCACTGTCAGGGTCCCTAAACCATGTTGCTCAACACCAAATCCACACGGTTTTTAAACA